AAAAAGATTATTTCCTTTTGAGATTCTCAGAAACAGACTTATTATGTAAATTATAATGAACTTTTATATGACTTTTTTTTCTTCATTTAAGACGGAGTCTCGCTCTGTCACCCAGGCTGGAGTGTAGAGGCACCATCTTGTCTCACTGCAACCTCCACCTCCCAGGTTCAAGCAATTCTCCCACCTTAGCCTCCTGAGTAGCTGAGATTACAGACATGTGCCACCACATCCAGCTTACTAATTTTTAGTAGAGATGAGGTTTCACCATGTTGGTTGGGCTGGTCCCAAACTCCTGACCTCAAATGGTCTCCCTGCCTCAGAATCTCAAAGTGCTGGGATTACAGGTGTGAGCCACCCCGCCCAACACCTTTGTAAGATTTTGATACATATATTCAAAATGTTATCCAAAGCTGTATCCATTCAAAATCATGCATGAGGCATGAAAAGGCGTATTTCACCAAAATCTTGCTACTCTCCTGCAAATAATATTTTGAAAAATTAACTCATTTAACCTATGCCCCCATTTGATAACAACAAAATCTAATGTCCCACTCCTCAATGGTATTTGGCATTTCAAAATAAATATTCTGATTTTTTAAAATCAAAGCCAGTTTAAATTCCAAGACAAAAGTATTTTGACTTCTAAGATATTTATTTGCTACTTAGGAAATGTATAGCAACATGATTGTTGAGTCTTCTTGCCAGCCACATCACTAACACTGAAGGAACAGCTTGTATCTATCAGTCTTCACAGAAGACAAACCAATTTCAAGCTTACTGTGCTGCACTATGGTGTTGTTTTAAATTACCCACAATCCTGAAAATGTTCACATGCTCCTGCCTGTAAATCTCTTTAACTAATGAGGTATGATTTTTCATCCTTTTAGAAATCATCATTCTTGGCCAGACTTGGTGACTCACGCCTGTAATCCCAGCACTTTGAAAGGCCGAGGTGGGAGGATCGCTTGAGGCCAGAAGTTCGTGACCAACCCGGTCAACACAGTGAGACCCCTAGTTAATATAGCAAGACTTTGTCTCTATTTTTGTAAAAATTAAATTTTTAAAAAATCATAATTCTTACTCCTATAAGTCAAAAAGTGGTCTACAGACCAGAATCAAGTAATGTGTTTAAGAAAAATCCTTAGATTTTATCCCAGAGATGTGCCACCACAATCTCTGGGATGGCAACCAGGAATTTTTAACAACCTCTGTAGGAAACTCTGCTGCATGTTAAAATGTGAGGCTGGGCACAGTGGCTCATGACTATAATCCCAGTACTTTGAAAGGCCAAACTGGGAGGATCACTTGAGCTCAGGAATTCAAGACCAGCCTGAGTAACATGGCGAAACCCCATCTCTACGAAAAAGTACAAAACTTAGCTGGGTGTGGTGGCGCATACCCCTGTAGTACCAGCTACTCCAGGGCTGGGGCGGGAAGGTCGTTTGAGCCCAGGAGGTCAAATCTGCAGTGAGACCCTGTCCAAAAACAAAAAAACAAACAAAGGTGAGGACCACTGCCTTAAAGGAGTTTATTTGCACATGGTATATTCTCAATGAATGCAGCTAACAGACTCCTGGAAGGTTTATACCTGAGATTTTTCAGTGTAATTAAGAAATCATATAATCTATAAATTATCAATAAACACATTAATTTTACCTCCAAGCTACTTTGAAGCCTTAAGTAACCCCCACTGTTTCTTAGACTAACTTCAATTAATTCCTCTCCAGCTTTACCAAATAACACAGATAACAGAAGAAAACTCAGACTCTTAGACCCTAGGTGATACTTAAACTCAAAATTCTCTTTAGAAGTCTTCTGTTTTAGTTCAAAAATTCATGAGAATGTTCTAGTCTAACAGAAAATATCCAGGTTTCTTTTCTTTTCTTTTTTTTTTTGATGGAGTTTTACTCTTGTTGCCCAGGCTGGAGTGCAATGGCACAATCTTGGCTCAGTGCAACTCCGCCTCTGGGGTTCAAGTGATTCTCCTACTTCAGCCTCCCAAGTAGCTGAGATGACAGGCATGCAGCACCAGGCCCAGCTAATTTTGTATTTTCAGTAGAGATGGGGTTTTACCATGTTGGTCAGACTCTTTTTGAACTCCTGACCTCAGGTGATCCACCAGCCTCGGCCTCCCAAAGTGTTGGGATTATAGGCAAGAGCCCCCACACCAGGCCATCCATATTTATTTCAAAACTCCCCAATATTCCTCCTTGCTCCCATTTGCAATTTGAATGAAGGCTTCAAAAAGCCCATGTTTACCCTCTGACAAAAGGGTCCAGTAATCCAGTGAGGTAAATATAAATCTGGACCATAAAAAGCAACCACCTCAAGTGACACAAATGCTTGAAGTTGAGTCCACAGTACTTCCCCAAAACAGATCTAAATAGAAATCATTATTTCCTTCCAAATTCAGCTAGCATATTTCTTTTTTCTCTATTTTTTGGAGTTAACAATTAGTCAATAGTAGTAATCAGGATAATTCAGTACTCAAATCCTAAAACAAAAACATAATCTGTGGAAAAATAAAATAAGTCTGCCTGATTGGAAAGAATCAGAACTAGGATAATACTTCCCACACAATGTAGCACTTCTTATGGAAAGAAAAGAGAAAGAAAGAAAGAGAGAAAGGAAAGAAAGGAAGGAAGGAAAGGAAAGAGAGAGAAAGAGAAAGAAAGAGAGAGAGAAAGAAAGAAGGGAGGGAGGGAGGGAGGGAGGGGAGGGAGGAAAAAGAAAAATTTCTTAAGAGAAAATGAAAAGTTAGAATTTTTATTTTTCGTATATTTCTCCCACACAACAGATTTATAAACTTTAAGCACTGTCTCACCCTATTCAGTGTGATACAGATTTCCTTCTATAAAAGCTTTCACTCTCAGTTGTTTTTTGTTTGTTTTTTTGAGACAGAGTCTCGCTCTGTCACCAGGTGCCAGGCTGGAGTGCATGGGCACGATCTTGGCTCACTGCAACCTCCGCCTCCCGGATTCAAGCAATTCTCCTGCCTCAGGCTCCCGAGTAGCTGGGACTACAGGCACGTGCCACCATGCCCAGCTAATTTTTGTATTTTAGTAGAGACAGGGTTTCACAACGTTGGCCAGGATGGTCCTGATCTCTTGACCTCATGATCCACCTGCCTTGGCCTCCCAGAGTGCTGGGATTACAGGCATTAGCCACCACGCCCAGCCCACTCAGTTTGATCAGGAGAAGCAGATCAAGCCCAATGGATGACACCATGTAAAATGTGGTAAGAGAGGCACAGATTACATATGTGTGAACTGATAGAACATACAATCTGAAAATCAAAGAGTTCTTCAAAAAATAAACTACTTAAATAAATTATGTCAGACTTATAAACCAGAATATTAAACAACTAGAAAACAGTGAAGCAAAATTTAAGAACCTCTATGGAATGTCTTTTAATTGAGAGGGGGAAAACAAGCATTATAAAGAACAGAAGGTACAATATGTTGCCATTTTTTGTGTGTACATATAGATCAGACATGATTATGTACTGGTTTGTATTTATGTAGAATATCTCTGGAGGAACACAAAAGAAATATGTAACAACAGTTACTGCAACCTGAAAAGGGAACAAAGAGAGACACTTTGCTTTTTACTGTATACTCTTTCAGGTCATTTGTATTTTGTACTATGTACATGTATTATCAATCAAAAAATTAAGTACTAAAAAATACAGTGCAATCATATAACAGAATACCATGAACTCATAAACAATGATGTGGCAGGATATGTGTACTAATGTGGAAAAAGGCCTCTGAATGCTACACCTAGCTAAAAACAAATCGTTGTTGAACCTCAGACAATAGCTACATTAATAATCTGTTAAAATGCATAAAACCAAACTTTTGAGAATTGCTATTTAACCAATAAAATATACATTACAGTAACTAGATACATTATATGTGGGCCAATGTGACCAAGTTTCCCTATTAGCAAAAAGAAACTTCCTCCTTTTACTTAACTTTCCTAAGTATGATAACCATCACCAAATATCTGGTAGGAATAATCAGAGAACATGGGAATACCACAGAAAAGAATAATCTAGAGAAGAATCAAGACATGAAGCACTTTATTAATATCTTTCTTCATAATTCTTCTCCAATAAAGTTAATAGTTTCATTAGTTTTATTTGTCTAGCAAGGGCTTGAGTTATTCTCCACTCTGACTTCATCAGCATTTACAAATAATCTAGAGAAGTTAAATTGCCTTTTGAGGTAATTAACTATAATGTGATACACTTTTTGGTTTCGTGCACTTGTTGTGGCATGTTGAGGTCTGTTTCCTTCTTTTTTTTTTCCAAGCCAAACTGTATCCAGCTTTATTAAAGATACTTTCGATAAACAATCATGGTATTTCAGGCAGGACATGGGCAGACAATCATTAACAGTATACAACAACTTTCAAACTCCCTTGTTTGATGGACTACCAAAAATCAGAAAGCCACTATAAAACCCAATGAAGTCTTCATCTGATGCTCTGAACAGGGAAGGTTTGGAGTGAGGGTTGACATTTCACATTTAGCATATTGTTTAACAACTTTTCACGAGCTGACCCTGACTTTCAGGAAGTGAAATGAAAATGGCAGAATTTATCTGAAGATCCACAATCTAGAAATGGAATCACTGCACTTTTGACAGGTGCCATCTCAGTGGCATCACTGGCAAGACCAGATTGCCTGACACACTGGTAACCAATGACTGGGGGTCAGGTCCCAACAGATGCCTGGGCTTAAGGGAGTTAAGTCTATGCTGAAAGACGGAAAGGGAGAAGAGGACATAAAAGTGAATTTGTTTTTCCATACCACAAGGCTTTTGTGTGCCAAGGTGGCCATGTGTGTCAAAGTCAGGGAATCCCTCCTCCTGGGAGCCAAAAGCAAGTCTTTCAAAACTAGAAGGGAAAGTCGTTTCCCCACATCAATCCAGCTTTGGAGACATTCTATTAGTGACATATACCCCTTCTCCCAAAACAACAATGAAGTAAGTCTTCTGTGTGCTAACAACATAGCTTAAAAAAAAAAAAAAAAGTAAAACAAAATTCTGCATTTTTATAAAACTTGATAAAAAATAGTATTTCAAACTGTACAGTCACCAGAAGTACACAGTTATCAAAAATGCACACACTTCACTTGGCATCTCCAGCACCTTCAGCTTTCTGTGCCTGGTCTGTTTTGGCATCTCCATCTTCTGCAGTGTTATTCCCTTCCTTGCCAGCATCAGCTTTTCCCTTTTTCCCTTTGGGTACCTTCTCTCCCTTCTTTGCAGGGGCCTTTTTAGGCTTGGGCTCTGGCTTTGGAGGAGCAGGTTTAGCAGACTACCTCGCAGATCTTCTCTGTGGTTCGTCCTTCACCTTGGCTTTATCTCCGTTAGCATCCCCTTCAGCCTTTCTCTTCGGCATGGTGGCGACGGCGGCAGGACATAGGCGCTGGGCGCGGGATGCAGCTGCGCGTGGGCTTCGGTCGGTCCAGGGGTTGTTCTCGCCTCCTCTTCTTCCCTGTTTTCTTCTTTCACTAAGCACTGGTACTGCAAGTGCCAGCTTATCCATATAAAAAGTTTCTGATTTAGCAATCATAAGACGCACACAAAAAGAATTTCAGCAACCTCTGCCCTTAAAATTTGCCAAGAAACATGTCTACTGTGGACAGTGATAGCAAATGGGCATGCCAGGTTTCAGATGTGCAGGGGAATAAAAAAAGTTAATTAGATATAACAGGTCTCACGATAGAAGACTTTCCAGAGGGTTCTGATATTGATAAATTAGGGGGGAAACTATGCTTGGAAACTAAGGGCACAGTTAAACATAAAAGTTGAGTTGTATGTGTGTATCCACTCTGCCAAACATTTTTCATGTCTCTTTGGAATGAACTGCCTCACACTGAAGCCGCTGCGTTAATGTAAAAACAGGTGCCTGGATTGAAGTGGTACCTCTCCAATTAGCAGGAAGTAATATCAGAAAAGGTCAGCATCTCGGTGATGCTCAAGCACCAACACCTTTAAAAGGCCTTCCACAGTGCCATGACACCTTCTTTTAAACCACAGTCACCACAAAACTTCTATTAAAGAAATAAGAACCTCCTCCTGCTCTTAGGCCAATTCAGTAAATGAATTAAGTAAATAACAAATCAACCAACCTCAATTTTGTAAAAACCAGCATTTCCCAAACTGTGTGTGGTGTTTTGTTCTGTTGTGTTTCGTTTTATTTTGAGATAAGCTCTGGCTCTATCACCTAGGCCGGAGTACAGTGACACCATCTCAGTTTAGTGCAACCTCTGCCTCCCTGGCTCAAGCCCTCCTTCCACCTCATCCTCCTGAGTAGCTGGGACCACAGCCATTCGACACCACACCTCGTTAATTTTTTTTTTTTTTTTGAGACAGTCTTGCTCTGTTGCCCAGGCTGGAGTGCACTGGTACAATCTCGGCTCACTGCACCCAGGTTCAAGCAATTAATTCTCCTATCTCAGCCTCCCAAGCAGCTGGGACTACAGACACGTGCCACCATGCCCAGCTAATATTTTTGTATTTTTTTTTAAAGTAGAGATAGGGTTTCACCACGTTCGCCAGGATGGTCTTGATCTCCTGACCTCATAATCCACCCACCTCAGCCTCCCAAAGTGCTGGAATTACAAGCATGAGCCACCAGCTAATTTTTATTTTTAGTAGAGACACGGTTTCACCATGTTGCCCAGGCTGATCTCAAACTCCTGGGCTCAAGCAATCCATCCTCCTCAGTCTCCCAAAGTGCTGGATTACAAGCGTGAGCCATCACGCCCAGCCCAAACTGTTAATCAAAGTTAGAACAGGAACTGTGTGCCTAAATAAACTGAACAGGGATAAGAGAGTCAATGATCATTAAAATGGGGCTACATGAATAATAATACCAGTACCAATAACAAAATCAAGGAAGGCCATGAAGTTTGTTCTAAGATGAAGACTTTGATTTTGGACACACCAGAAGTTAAAGGAGACAACAAGGCAACCAGGTGAAGATTCTCATTAGTAAGACTAAGAGGTGCAGGAAAACAGATCAAGGAACAAAACAGATTTCAGAATCATTTAATTATGGTGGTAAAGACAAAAAAACTGAATAAGAGCCATCCGAATGTGAATTGACTGATAATGACAATAGAAATGTTAGAAAAAGTTGATCCTGAGATACAGGTAGTTGGGCATAGAAGTAAGAATTTGAGCCAGTAAGGAAGGGAAAAGAGGTACTGCTCAAGAGATAAAGAGAAAATACAGTATAAGGGAAGCAAAGAGATGAGATCCTTCATGAAGATTAACAGAATCCGATTCTATCTAATGAATAAGCACAATGAGAACAGAAAAAAAAATGCCAATTAATTGATTTGGTTATTATAAGAAATCAGGAACCTATGAGCAATTACTTTTCAGGGGCTGCAGGTAAAAGTTGCATTTACAAGTAGTTACAGACAAGATGAGGTACAAGAAAATGGAGAAAGCAAGTGAAAACTACTCAAAAAAAATGAAAATAGTTTAACTTTCTATTTCATCACCTTATGGATCTCCCAATTTGAAGTCTACAAAACCTCAAAAAAATTCATTCACCTTAGGAAACACAACCTCAGGCATTAGCAATCATATTTCTATACCTTACAACAAAGAAAGCTAGCTACCTATTAATGCCATGGGAAAGTATCTGACAAGATGCTTCTGCAACTGTATTCAAATAGGAAACAATCTGAATCTAAAAGTGCATTTTTTGATAGATAAATATTAATAATTTCTGGCCTGGTGTGGTGGCTCATGTCTGTAATCTCAGCACTTTGCAAGTCCCAAGAGGGTGGATCACTTGAGGCCAGGAGTTCAAGACCAGCCTGACCAACATGGTGAAACTCCATTTCTCTCTTTTTTTTTTTCAAATTATCTCCCAATTATGTTCAGTATCAGGCAAAACTCCATCTCTACTAAAAATACAAAAATTAGCCAGTGTGGCAGCGCATGCCTGTAGTCCCACCTACTTGGGAGACTGAGGCATGAGAATTGCTTGAACCCAGGAAGAAAAGGTTGCATTGAATCGTTATCATGCCACTGCACTACAGCCTGGGTGACAGAGCAAGATCCTCTCTCAAAAAAAAACTTTCTAAAATGTTCTCTGCACATTCACATGAAACATTACAGGCAAACAATCCTGTAGCGAGTACTACAGTACTCAAGCTATTATTTCAAATTAAAAAGGAGAATGATAATTAAAAATACTAGCATTTGGTGTTGGAAGCATAGCTTTCATCTAAGGACATCAAAGCAACTTTTGAACACCTATTAATTATGGCCTTTCCAAACTATCCTGTTTACCGTAGCCAAATACAAGCATGAAAATAATTATACTGTAGCCTGCTAACACACAAAATATGATTAAGAACTGTTTGTGATTAATACTTAATAATTACAATAAATTGGAATTAATAACAAAAGTTACTTTGGATGAAGTACTTCAAAATGAAAAGTAACATCTTCTCAATTTATTTTATTTTAGTTTTTTTAAAGACACAGTCTCACTCTATTACCCAGGCTGGAGTGCAATGGCATGATCTCAGCTCACTGCAACCTCCACCCCCCGGGTTAAAGGAATCCTTGTACCTCAGCCACCCAAGTAACTATAATTACAGGCACCTGCCACCACACCAGGCTAATGTTTGTTTTTTAGTAGAGAAGGGGTTTCCCCATGTTGGCCAGGCTGGTCTCGAGCTCCTGGCCTCAAGTGATCAGCCCACCTCAGACTCCCAAAGTGCTAGGATTGCAGGTATGAGACACAGAGCCTGGCTAAATCTTCTAAATTTAAACTTCAGTAACTGTCATCCAGAAAAACTCGGAAAAGGAACAAACTTTTTAGTCTATTAAGGAAAAAAAGTTTGCTAAGCAAGTACTATAAACAAAGTAACAAATGTAAGAAAAGCATATTATTTTCAGATAATTTAGGTATACTTAGTGGAAGAAGCCAGGTGCGGTGGCTCACGCCTATAATAATCCCAGCACTTTGGAAGGCCGAGGTGGGCAGATGACTTGAGGTCAGGAGTTTGAGATCAACCTGGCCAACACAAGGAATCCCCATCTCTACTAAAAATACAAAAACTAGCTGAGTGTGGTGGCACGTGCCTGTAATCCCAGCTGCTCAGCAGGCTGAGGCAGGAAAACTGCTTGAACCTGGCAGGCAGAGGTTAGATCTTACCACCCTACTCTAGCCTGGGTGATAAAGGAATATTCCATCAAAAAAAAAAAAAAAAAAAGAGGCAACAATATGGCAGAAAAAACTGCAATCTGGGAGGACAGGAAAAGAACAGAATCTACAGTGTATCTACAATGTACCAGGCACACTAATGGATTCTTTAAAATATGTTATCCTGGGCCAGGTGTGGTGGCTCACACCTGTAAACCCAGCACTTTAGGAGGCCTAGGTGGGCGAATTGCTTGAGCTCAGAATTTCAAGACCAGCCTGGGCAACATAGTGAGACTCCGTCTTTACAAAAAAAAATTTTTTTTAATTAGCTAGGCATGATTACACACACCTATAGCCCCCAGCTACTCAGGAGGCTGAGGTGGGAAGATCACCTGTGCCTGGGAGGCAGAAGGTGCAATGAGCCAAGATCATGCTACTGTACTGCAGCCTGGATCACAAAGCGAGACCCTGACTCAAAAATAAAAAAAAAGTTATACCAGTTAACTGTCATAGTAGTTATTATTTAACTATATAAATACAACATAGTTATTATTTATTATGCTGTTCAATACAGGAGTTACTAGCCACATACTGCTACTGGATATTTGAAATGTGGCTAATACCAAGATGTGGTGTAAGTATAAGATGCACACCAAATTTCCAAGATTTATACCAAAAAAAAAAGCAATATATCTCATTAATTTCATTGATTATATGTTGAAATAATAACATTTTGGATATATTAGGTCAAATAAAAATATTGTTCAAACCAATTTTACCTGTTTCTTTTCACTTTTTAAAAAAGTATATAAGATGGCACGGTGAGAACAACCCAGGATTGAAGCTCTTGGTGAATGCGCGGAGGGTGAGTCAGGGCCGCATTTCCAGACGGATCTTTGTTGCCCACAGAACGGGGAAATTCCCAGGTATAAAAGAGACGTGGGATGCCAGCAAAGCGGTTTTGGCTGGTGCAGCCAGCGACGCTCCACAGCACTCCACACAAAGTGCACTGGTCCGGGTGCCCTGTTGAACCGGCAATCTGAGACTTGAGAGGGCAGATTGGCATATCCATCTGATTGAACAGGACTTGGACAGTGAGCCAGGACAGGAGATTCCAGGGAAACGGCATTTGGGCCAGGGCACTGGGACAAACAAAACGGCAATTCCAAACGCTCCAGGTGGAGAGTTTCACTGTGGGTACAGCTGAACCCAGGACAGTGCAGCTCGGTGGCGGAGGGGCGTTTGCCATTACCGAGGCAACCCGCCACAACAGAGAGACTCTGCCGCAGGGCGTAGCCCATGGCAGCAGGGAAGAGACCGCACCAGCAGGGCAGAGCCTGCAGCAACAGGGCGGACCTCACACCAGCAGGGCGGAGCCTCGGCAGGCAAATAGTGACTAGACTGCCTCCTAGCTGGGCAGGACAGCGCAACAAACACATAAAGAAAACCCCAACCCCCGAGACAGAGCATCTGAGAAAAAAAGGGGTTTTTTTAATGAGTTCTGCTGCAGCAGCATTAAATGTAGCAGCCTAACAGCCCTGAATGAACAACAGAGCTCACAGATCAGCACTTGAGCTCCGATAAAGTACAGACTGTCTCCTCAAGCAGCTCCCTGACCCTCTATATCCAGAAGACTGACATTTGGCAGGCATCATTATGGGACAAAGATAGCAGAAAAAGAAACTGGTAGCATCCCTCACTGTTCTGCAGCCGCTACAGGTGCACCCCAGACAAGCAGGGCCTGGAGTGGACCTCAGCAGTTGTACAGCGAAGGGGCTAGGCTGGTAGAAGGAAAACCAAGTAACAGAAATATTTCATCATCAACAATCTGGGTGTCCACTCAGAGACCCAATCGAAAGGTCAGCAATGCAGACGACAAGCGGATAAACCCACAAAGATGGGAAGAAACCAGCGAAAAAAGGAGGAAAACACCTGAAACCAGAACACCTCGCCTCCTAGAAAGGACCAAAACTCCTCACCAGCAAGGGAGCAAAGCTGGACGGAGAATGACTGTGACGAAATGACGGAATTAGACTTCAGAAGGTGGATAATGAGAAACTTTTGTGAGCTAAAAGAACATGTTTTAAATCAATGCAAAGAAACTAAGAACCTTGAAAAAAGATTCGAGGAAATGATAACAAGAATGGATAACTTAGAGAGGAATATGAATGAATTGAAGGAGCTGAAAAACACAATACAAGAACTTCACGAAGCATGCACAAGTTTCAACAGCCGAATTGACCAAGCAGAAGAAGGAATATCAGAAGTTGAAGATCAACTCAATGAAATAAAACGAGAAACCAAGATCAGAGAAAAAAGCGCAAAAAGGAATGAACAAAGTCTCCAAGAAATGTGGGACTATGTGAAAAGACCTAACCTACATTTGATAGGTGTACCAGAATGTGACGAAGAGAATGAATCCAAGCTGAAAAATACTCTTCAGGATATTAGCCAGGAAAATTTCCCCCACCTAGCAAGGCAGGCCAACACTCAAATGCAGGAAATACAGAGAACACCACAAAGATATTCCGCAAGAAGAGCAACCCCAAGGCACATAATCATCAGATTCACCAGGGTTAAAATGAAGGAGAAAATACAAAGAAAAGCCAGAGAGAAAGGTTGGGTCACCAATAAAGGGAAGCCCATCAGACTCACAGCAGATCTCTCGGCAGAAACTCTACAAGCCAGAAGAGAGTGGGGGCCAATATTCAACATCCTTAAAGAAAAGAACTTTCAACCCAGAATTTCATATTCAGCCAAACTGAGCTTCAGAAGTGAAGGAAAAATAAAATCCTTTGCGAACAAGCAAGTACTCAGAGATTTTGTCACCACCAGGCCTGCTTTACAAGAGCTCCTGAAAGAGGCACTACACATAGAAAGGAACAACCAGTACCACCCATTCCAAAATCACACTAAATGCTAAGGAGCATCAACATAATGAAGAATCAACTAACGGGCAAAACAGCCAGCTAGCATCAAAATGGCAGTATCAAATTCACACATAACTATATTAACCCTAAATATAAATGGACTAAATGCACCAATCAAAAGACACAGACTGGCAAATTGGATAAAAAACCAAAACCCATCAGTGTGCTGTATCCAGGAAACCCATCTCACATGCAAGGATACACAAAGGCTCAAAATAAAGGGATGGAGGATGATTTACCAAGCAAATGGAGAGCAAAAAAGAGCTGGAGTTGCAATCCTCATCTCTGATAAAATAGACTTTAAAGCAACAAAGATCAAAAGAGACAAAGAAGGCCATTACATAATGATAAAAGGATCGATACAACAAGAAGAGCTAACGATCCTAAACATATATGGACCCAATACAGGAGCACCCAGATACATAAGGCAAGTTCTTAATGACTTACAAAGAGACTTAGACTCCCACACAATAATAGTGGGAGACTTTAACACTCCACTGTCAATAATAGACAGATCAACCAGACAGAAAATCAACAAGGATATCCAGGGCTTGAACTCAGACCTGGAACAAGCAAACCTGGTGGACATTTACAGAACTCTCCACCCCAAATCCACAGAATATACATTCTTCCCAGCACCACATCACACCTACTCTAAAATTGACCACATAATTGGAAGTAAAGCACTCCTCAGCAAATGCAAAACAACTGAAATCATAACAAACAGTCTCTCAGACCATAGTGCAATCAAGTTAGAACTCAGAATTCAGAAACCAACCCAGAACCACACAGCTTCATGGAAACTGAACAACTGGCTCTTGAATGTTGACTGGATAAACAATGAAATAAAGGCAGAAATAAAGAAGTTCTTTGAAACCAATGAGAACGAAGACACAACATGCCAGAATCTCTGGGACACATTTAACACAGTCTCTAGAGGAAAATATATAGCAATAAGTGCCCATATGAGGAGAATGGAGAGATCCAAAATTGACACCCTATCGTCAAAATTGAAAGAGCTAGAGGAGCAAGATCAAAAAAACTCAAAACCCAGCACAAGACAAGAAATAACTAAGATCAGAGCTGAACTGAAGGAGATAAAGACACGAAAAACCCTTCAAAAAAATCAATAAATCCAAGAGCTGGTTTTTTGAAAAGATCAACAAAATAGACAGACCACTAGCCAGATTGATTAAAAAGAAAAGAGAGAACAACCAAATAGATGCAATACAAAATGATAAACGGGAAATCACCACAGATTCCACAGAAATTCAAACCATCATCAGAGAATATTACAAACAACTCTATGCACATCAACTAGTAAACCTGGAAGAAATGGATAAATTCCTGGACTCCTGTGTCCTCCCAAGCCTAAACCAGGAGGAAGCTGAAACTATGAATAGACCAATAACAAGGTCTGAAGTTGAGGCAGCAATTAAGAGCCTACCACACAAAAAAAGCCCAGGTCCAGATGGGTTCACAGACAAATTCTACCAGACACACAAAGAGGAGCTAGTACTATTCCTTCTGAAACTATTCCAAATAATCCAAAAAGAGGGAATCCTTCCCAAATCATTTTATGAGACCAACATCATCCTGATACCAAAACCCGGCAGAGACCCAACAAAAAAGGAAAACTTCAGGCCAATATCCATGATGAACATAGATGCAAAAATCTTCAATAAAATATTGGCAAGCCGATTGCAACAGCAAATCAAAAAATTTATCCATCATGATCAAGTAGGATTCATCCCGGGGATGCAAGGCTGGTTCAACATACGCAAGTCTATAAACGTAATTCACCACATAAACAGAACCAAAAACAAAAACCACATGATTATCTCAATTGACACAGAGAAGGCATTTGACAAAATTCAACAGCCCTTTATGCTAAAAACCCTCAATAAACTAGGTATTGATGAACATATCTCAAAGTAATAAAAGCTATTTATGACAAACCAACAGCCAATATCATACTAAATGGGCAAAAACTGGAAGCATTCCCTTTGAAATCCGGCACTAGACAAGGATGCCCTCTCTCACCACTCCTATTCAATACAGTACTGAAAGTTCTAGCCAGAGCAATCAGGCAAGAAAAAGAAACAAAGGTATTCAAATAGGAAAGGTGGAAGCCAAATTGCCTCTATTTGCAGACGACATGATAGTATATCTAGAAGACCCCATCGCCTCAGCCCAAAACTCCTAAAACTGATAAGCAACTTCAGCAAAGTCTCAGGATATAAAATCAATGTGCAAAAATCACAAGCATTCCTCTACACAAATAACAGACTTAAAGAAAGCCAAATCAAGAATGAACTGCCATTCACAATTGCTACAAAAAGAATAAAATACCTTGGAATACAACTCACAAGGAACGTAAAGGATCTCTTCAAGGAAAACTACAAACCACTGCTCAACGAAATAAGAGAGGACACAAACAGATGGAGAAACATTCCATGTTCATGGTTAGGAAGAATTAATATCGTGAAAATGGCTATACTGCCCAAAGTAATTTACAGAATCAGTGCTATCCCCATCAAGCTACCATTGACTTTCTTCACAGAACTGGAAAAAACCACCATGAACTTCATATGGAACCAAAAGAGAGCCCGCATAGCCAAGTCAATTCTAAGCAAAAAGAACACAGCGGGGGGCATCACACTACCGGATTTCTAACTATACTACAAGGCTACAGTAATCAAAACAGCATGGTATGGTACCAAAACAGAGATATAGACCAATGGAACAAAACAGAGGCATCGGAGGCAACACAACATATCTACAACCATACAATCTTTGATAAACCTGACAAAAACAAGCAATGGGGAAAGGATTCCCTGTTCAATAAATGGTGTTGGGAAAACTCGCTAGCCATGTGCAGAAAGCAGAAACTGGACCCCTTCCTGACACCTTACACTAAAATTAACTCCAGATGGATTAAAGACTTAAACATAAGACCTGGCGCCATAAAAACCCTAGAAGAAAATCTAGGCAAAAACCATTCAGGACATAGAAGTAGGCAAGGACTTCATGACCAAAACACCAAAAGCACTGGCAACGAAAGCCAAAATAGACAAATGGGACCTAATCAAACTCCACAGCTTCTGCATGGCAAAAGAAACAGTCACTAGAGTGAATCAGCAACCAACAGAATGGGAAAAAATGTTTGCAGTTTACCCATCTGACAAAGGGCTGACATCCAGAATTTACAAAGAACTCAAACAGATTTACAGGAAAAAAACAAGCCCATTCAAAAATGGGCAAAGGATATGAACAGACACTTTACAAAAGAAGACATGTATGAGGCCAACAATCATATGAAAAAATGCTCATCATCACTGGTCATTAGAGAGATGCAAATCAAAACCACATTGAGATACTATTTCATGCCAGTTAGAATGGCAATCATTAAAAAATCTGGAGACAACAGATGCTGGAGAGGATGTGGAGAAAAAGGAACACTTTTACACTGTTGGGGGGAGTGTAAATTAGTTCAATCATTGTGGAAGACAGTGTGGCGATTCCTCAAGGCCTTAGAAATAGAAATTCCATTTGACCCAGCAATCCCATTACTGGGTATATATCCAAAGGACTATAAATTGTTCTACTATAAGGACACATGCACACAAATGTTCATTGCAGCACTGTTTACAATAGCAAAGACCTGGAACAAACCCAAATGCCCATTGATGATAGACTGGATTGGGAAAATGTGGCACATATACACCATGGAATATTATGCAGCAATCAGAAATGATGAGTTTGTGTCGTTTGTAGGGACATGGATGAATCTGGAGAACATCATTCTCAGCAAACTGACACAAGAACAGAAAATGAAATACCGCATATTCTCACTCATAGGCGGGTGATGAAAAATGAGAACACATGGACACAGGGAGGGGAGTACTAAACACTGGGGTCTATTGGGGGGAAAAGGGGAGGACCAGCAGGGAGTGGGGGAGCTGGGGAGGGATAGCCTAGGGAGAAATGCCAAATGTGGGTGAAGGGGAGAAAGGAAGCAAAACACACTGCCATGTGTGTACCTATGTAACTGTCTTGCATGTTCTGCACATGTACCCCAAAACCTAAAATGCAATAAAAAATTTTAAAAAATAAATAAAAAAGTATATATGGAAAAATTCAAATGATATATGGCTTAACTTTATGGATTACATTATATTAGACAGTAATACTCTAAATCAAATTACCAAATTGTAGAAAATACATGAGACAGAAAAACATTGAACACCATCACAATCTCCACGGTATGAGGACATTTAGAAGTGAAAAGATCCAGTTTCTTTATACATACACACACAGAAATACACACGCACATTTTTTTTGTTTTGTTTTTTTCTTTTTCACACTTTTTTTTTTAATGCAGGGAAATGAGAAAGTGAGATAGAGGTGAAATGTGTAGATTAAAGAACTTAACAGACATACCAACTAATTAAAATGTATGGGCCTTACATGAATCTCAAACAGTCAGTTTAAAAATAAATTATGACAATCACTGAGTAAGCAGGAAGGAATTAATGTTGTTGTTCTTACAGTGATAATAGTATTGTGGTTATGTTTAAAATTTTTACAAAATAGTTTATGTTTTTATTTTTATTCCTTTCTTTTCACAGGTGTTGAAGTTTCTATCTTTTAGAGCTATATACTGAAATGTCTAGAGATGAAATAATACGGGGAGGCCGAGCATGGTGGCTCACACCCATAATCCCAACACTTTGCAAAGCCAAGGTGTGTGGATAACCTGAGGTCAGGAGTTTGAGACGAGCCTGGCCAACATGATGAAACCCTATCTCTACTAAAAATACAAAATTAGCCAGGTGTGGTGGCGCATGCCTATAATCCCAACTACTTGGGAGGCTGAGGCAGGAGAATCGCTCAAACTCAAGAAGCAGAGGTTACAGTGAACCAAGACTGTACCACTGCACTCTAGCCTGGGCAAAAAGAGCAAAACTCCATCAAGAAAAGAAGGGAAAGGGAAAGGGAACAAAGGAAGGGAAGAAGAAGAGGAAGAAAGGATATGGTGACACGTGTGTCAAAATAATGTGGTGGGAGAAAATAATGTTGGGAGACAACTATAAAGGGACACAGATGAAACAAGTCGACCATAGGATAACAATTTTGCAGTTCAGTAACAGGTAAATGGAGTTTATTACACTGTTCTTTCCACTGTCATAGAATCACAACTTTAGAGTCGGAAAGAGTATTAGAAATCAGAACACAGTAAATGTAAGGGAAAGAAATGAAAACAAAGCCAGAAATACCTAGGTATGTGACCTAAAGTTTCCTCATCTATAAAAATGAGGATAAGAAGGAATGAGATCACGTCTTTTGCCAGGACATGGATGAAGCTAGAAGCCATTATCCTCAGTAAACTAATGCAGGAACAGAAAACCAAACACTGGGTGTTCTCACTTACAGGTGGGAGCTGAACAATGAGAACACACAGACAAAGGGAGGGGAACACCACACACTGGCCTGTCAGGGGGTTGCGGGGGTGCGGGGGGGAGAGCATTAGGAAGAATAGCTAATGCAAGCTAGGCTTAATACTTAGGCGATCAGTTGACAGGTGCCGGAAACCACCATGGCACACATTTACCTATGTAACAAACCTGCACATCTTGCACATGTACCTCGAAACTTACAATCAAATTAAATTAAATTAAACTTTTAAAAATGAGGATAGCACTTTGGGAGACCGAGGCAGGCAGCTCACCTGAGATCAGAAGTTTGAGACCAGCTTGATGAACATGGAGAAACCCCATCTCTACTAAAAATACAAAATTAGCCAGACATTACATGCCTGTAATCCCAGCTACTCGGGAGGCTGAGGCAGGAGGATCACTTGAACGCGGGAGGCAGAGGTTGCAGTGAGCCGAGATTGCACCACTGCTCTCCAGCCTGGGCAACAAAGGCAAAACCCCGTCTCAAAAAAAAAAAGAGGATAAAACACTTACCTTATATGAAGTGGTTAAGCATTAAATCGAATAACACATATTAAACATATATTTGCTAAAAGTAAACTCTTTTCACCCTTTCCCAAAGTACTAAACAAACAAGAGCTCAACTGGCCCAATCTCCTCATTCAAAAAGTGAAAAAACTAGCAAAAATTCTCACAAGTCTACATGCAGTTAGCACCTCTTTCCAAATATCATCCCTTCATGCCCACATAATACATTAACAAATGGCTCTGTATACCTCCACTGTTTAAATAGAGACTTATTTTAGGATGCACAGAATTTTACTAAGTTCTCACCAGCCAGTGTTAGTTACTGCTACCGGTTATTTCACAATCTGTCATTAGAGATCCAAGTAGACACCCTTCTGAAAGACATATAGTAAGTATGAACTCTGTCTTTAATAACTATTTGCCATTAAAACTAGGTCTGGCTGGGCATGGTGGCTCACATCTATAATCCCAGCACTTTGGAGGCCGAGGTGGGTGAATTGCTTGAAGTCAGGAGTTCAAGACCAGTCTGGCTAACATGGGAAAACTCCCTCTCTACTAAAAATACAAAAATTAGCCAGGCGTGGTGGTGACCACCTGTAGTCCCATCTACTCAAAAAGCTGAGGCAGGACAATCACATAAACCAGGGAATCAGAGGTTGCAGTGAGCTGAGATCGTGCCACTGCACAGCAGCCTGGGCAACAGAGCAAGACTACCTCAAAAACAAAAAAAAAAAGGAAAAAAAAGAAAGAGAAATAAAATAAAATCTTTGGAAATAATATTGTATTTAGGTTGAAAACAACTGAGTAAACACTGCCACATTTCAGTGATTATTCTGGGGTGTCAAATTATGAATACTTTCTTTTGTCATCTCTGTATGTTCAAATTTTTTCTATAATAACCAAGTATTTTTATAATTAAAAAAGGCTTTAAAAATATAGAATACAGGACTTTGTTCTATAAGACAGAAATAATAATGCATACTAAATTATTTTGTAGTTATTGACATAATTTCATTAAATAAAAATTGCTGTGTGAGAAATATTAATAGATTGCAATCATTTACCAATCAATAGTAACTATTTTTAATAAACGTTTAATTTTTTCTTTGAGATAGCGTCTTGCTGTGTCACCTGGGCTGTAGCGCACTTGCACAATTACAACTCACTACAGCCTCGACCACCCAGGCTCAAGCAATCCTCCTACATCAGCCTCCCAAGTAAGTGGGGACTACAGGCATGCACCACCACATCTGGCTAATTATTTTTTATAGAGACAAGGTTTCATGATGTTGCCCAAGCTGGTCTCAAAATCCTGGCTCAAGTGATCCACCTAACTCAGCCTCCAAAAGTGTGGGACTACAGGCATGAGCCACCATGCTGAGACTAATAAAAGTATAATTTCTGGCTGGGCACAGTAGCTCACGTCTGTAATCCCAGCACTTTGGGAGGCTGAGGCAGGTGGACCACGAGGTCAGGAGTTTGAGATGAGCCTGGCCAACATGGTGAAACCCCATTAGCCAGGCATAGTGATATACACCTGTAGTCCTAGCTACTCAGGAGGCTAAGGCAGGAGAATCATTTGAACCTGGGAGGCAGAGGTTGCAGTGAGCCGAGATGATGCCACTGCACTTCAGCCTGGGTGACAGAGCAAGACTACATCTTAAAATATATATATATATATATAAAATTTCTTAATAAAACTTAATAGATTTTTGAAAATGAGTGTTTGTGTTTAGTGGGAGGATTTTTAATGAGAGGTTTTTTTCCCACTAAACACAAACACACTTTTTAAAAAAACTGTTTATGTAGAGTACAAAAAGTAATCATGAAATTATTATGACTTCTATCTTCAAATATTATATTGGAGAGTCATCTGAGGCCTCGGAAGAATGAGAGACTGACCAGGATACTTAGACAAGATGAATCAAAACACATAATGAGTAAGCATATTTCTGGAGAAAAAAATAAAATAGAAGTAAAAACTCACAATGACCAACCAAGAGTCAAGAATTCTACCTGTGTGTCTCAAACTGTGGTTCAAGAGCCAAACAGAATAGAATCAGCTACTGTGCTTAATAAAAATTAAGACCCAGCAGGGCGCTGTGGCTCACCCCTGTAATCCCAGCTCTTAGGGAGGCAGACTCGGGAGGACAGCTTGAGCCCAGGAGTTCAAGACCTGCCTGAGCAATATAGCGAGACCTCATTCTCTAAATAAATTAATTAATTAATTAATTAATTAAAATTAAGTCCCTTCAAAGGCTGACCCAGAAAGAATGAAGCAGAATTTCTGGGAGCATTCTCAAACCAATGAACATCTCTCTGAGCCAGTTTCCTCATCTATAAAAAAAGGAATGATGAAAATCCTTTGCAGGGGAAATATGGGAATAGGATGCATCTGCAGATCTGAGCTCCTTCTGGCTTCAAGTAACACCAAGGGGCCCAAAGATTTCTATACCCAACTGGGGCAGACTGCAAACACTTCCACCATGGAATGGTAGAACTATGCTAAGGAGCTCTCATGCTGATATCCTGATCCAGAATTCCCTAAATCCTGCACTATCTGCCACTAATAGTAAGAGCAGATTTCCAGTATTGTGGACACCTCCTGGTAGCAAACCCCCCAGTTAATTAATGGGCAGCCTCTGTTCTGTTAGTGACCAAACTGCAGTGACAAGTCCCCCAAGAAGTGTCAGATTAATTACAAAGGAGACCGCCTTTCCTTTCAACTGTTTCCCTGTTAACAAAACTACTCCTCACTCCATATCCTTGCATTCCAATCTCCATGCTTGCCCAAAAATTCCTAACCTATAAACTAAGTGTTCTATTTGTTTCACAATTCAATGTCTATTTGTTTTTGTTTTCATTCAAATGTCAATGCTGTCCATCACAGAATTTTAGATAGTAAATATGTTCTCTAAAGAGCACATTTCCATTCCATTTTTAACTCTTTCTTCTCATAAACTAGAAAATACTTTTAAAATTCTGATTCAGTTTACATCATATTTATAATAATATTGTTAATTTTAAAGTAAAAGTTTAAAAAATGGTTGATAAACTACTAAGAAGTTTAAAATACCATACAGGTGGGTAAGTAGACTATCGTATATGCGTAATAGGTATTATTAATACTAATAATGTGATTTTAGATAAATGATATGGACAAACCAATTTTTCCAATAATGTCTATTTCATATACAGAAAAATCTAGTCACTACATCCAGCTGGCCATTTGATAAATAAGATTATATTAAATACACAGGAAACTTTCTGGCAGGATTCCTAATCACCAATATTTCAGTATTTCCCATGTTAGACTTACTGTTAAGTGAATTAAACAGGCTACAAAGCCATAATATATAATAATTTACATATATACACGTGTGTATATACATACACATGTGAATGTATACACACATACATATACGTGTGTATATACATATATACACATACATATACATGTATACATATCCATATGGGTATATATGTGTGCATATATACACATACCTATATATTAATCTCATTTTTATACACAGAAAAAAGTTTAAAAAAGATTATATCAGGATAACAAGTGACTTATTTCAGCTTTGTATTTAGCTACACTTTCTAAATCTTTTCTGGGTAGGTGGGTGGGTGAGTGGGTGTGTGTGTGTGTGTACGTGTGTGTGCTTTTAAGACAGGCTCCCTCTCTCTGTTGCCCAGGCTGGAATGCAGTGGCCCAATCATAGCTCACTGTAACCTCAAACTCCTGGAAATAAGCAACCCTCCCACCTCAGCCTCCCAAGTACCTGGGACTACATGCATGCAACACTGCACCTCTTTTTTTTTTTTTTTTGTAGAGTAAGGGTTTTGCTATATTGCTTAGGCTGGTCTCAAAACTCCTGGCCTCAGGCAATCCTCCTGCATTGGCCCCCCCAAAATGCTTGGATTATAGGCATGAGCCACTGTGCCTGGCCCCTGTATTTTCTAAATTTTCTATAACATATCTGGAATTACTTTTGTAATAGAAATAATGCAAGGTCACTTTTCTCTCTGATTTTTTTTTTTTTTTTTTTTGCAGGGGACTTACAGGGATCACATGCCTATAATCCCAGCAACTCAGGAAGCTGAGACAGGAGAACTGCCTGAACCTGAAACACAGAGATTACAGTGAGCTGAGATCACATCACTGCACTCCAGCCTGGGCAACAGAGCGAGACTCCATCTCAAAAAAACAAGGATATTTCATGTAACTGCCTACAAATTAGACCAAAATGTTTAACTCTCTCCAAAAGCCATCTTAAAATTTTGCTGTTGTTACATTTTCAGATGTTTTAATTTACTCATTAATGCATTCATATGGATCTCTTACCATTTGCAGGATATGTTCTCTGTAAAATTATTAAGACTATAGACCCTTCTTTCTCAGGCATAAACCTAACACAGGCACAGTCACCCAGAAAAAAATGTAAATATAAACCTTTTTTTTTTCCTTTGAGACAGAGTCTCACTCTGTTGCCCAAGCTGTTATACAGTAATGCAATTATATCTCACTGCAGCCTCAACCTTCTGGGCTCAAGTGATCCTCCCAGCTCAGCCTCCCAACTAGCAAGGACTATAGGCTTGCATTGTCATGCCCAGATAATTTGTTTTTAATTTTCTGTATCCCAGGTTGGTCTTGTACTCCTGGCCTCAAGAGATCCTCCAACTGTGGCCTCCCAAAGTGCTGGGATTATAGGTATGAGCCTCCATGCCCAGTCTAAACATTTTTTATTATTTTTTTTTAGAGACAGGGTCTTGCTATGTTGCCCAGACTGAACTAGAACTCCTAGACTCAAACAAACCTTCCACCTCAGCCTTGCAAGTAGCTGAAACTACTGGCAAAAAAACCTAATTTAAAGAAATACAACTAATAGCAAGCAAGTGGACGATTCGATAATATAAATTACATCAAGTGTCTTATACCACAAGATTCAGAAAGGTACAGACTACACAAAATTATACATGAAATACCTTTTTTTGATAATAATCTTTCTCTCGAATGTTTCCTTTTTTTTGGAGATGGAGTTTCGCTCTTGTTACCCAGGCTGAAGTGCAATGGCACGATCTCGGCTCACCGCAACCTCCGCCTCCTGGGTTCAGGCAATTCTCCTGCCTCAGCCTCCTGAGTAGCTGGGATTACAGGCACGCACCACCATGCCCAGCTGATTTTTTGTGTTTTTAGTAGAGACGGGGTTTCACCATGTTGACCAGGATGGTCTCGATCTCTTGACCTCAGGATCCACCCGCCTCGGCCTCCCAAAGTGCTGGGATTACAGGTGTGAGCCACCGCACCTGGCCCTCTCTCAAATGTTTCTATAACTGATAGAGCAGAAAGATGGTCTGGGGGTCTGATGAACCTTTCTCTGAATTGATATACAGAGAATCCAGTACAAAGCAACCTTTAGATGTTGTATTTCTGATTTGTTTTCAATTCCCCCACCTTCGGAAGCAAGTGAAACAAAGCTGACTGTGTCAAAAACATATCAAATCAAGAAATAACCTAACAACAACAAAAAAATTAAAAGCTCTATTTAAAAGCCAATTTCGTAAAGACATTACTAATTACCTTACAGAAAAAGATAAGAGAATACTATGGGCCAAGTGCAGTGGCTCACCGCTGTAATCCTAGCACTTCGGAAAGCCGAAGTGGGTGGATTACTTGAGGTCAGGAGTTCTAGACCAGTCTGGCCAACATGGCAAAACCCCATCTCTACTAAAAATACAAAAAATTAGAAGGCGTGTTGGTAGGTGCCTGCAATCTCAGCACTTTGGGAGGCAGAGGTGGGTGGATCACCTGAGGTCAGAATGTCAAGATCAGCCTGACCAATATGGCAAAACCCCATTTCTACTAAAAATACCAAAATTAGCCAGGTGCAGTAGCATGCACCTGTAGCCCCAGCTACTCAAAAGGCTGGGACAGGAGAATTGCTTGAACCCGGAAGATGGAAGTTACAGTGAGCCGAGATCGTGCTACTACACTCCAGCCTGGGCAATAGAGTAAGACTCCATCTCAAAAAAAAAAAAAAAAAAAGAACGAAAGAAAGAAAAAGAAAGAAGGAAGGAAGGAAAGAAAGAAAGAGAGAGAGAAAGAAAGAAAGAAAGAGAAAGAAAGAAAGAAAGAAAGAAAGAAAGAAAGTAAGTAAGTAAGTAAGTTAAGACAACCTACAGAATGGGAGGAAATACTTGCAAATCACATATCTGGTAAGGGATTAATGGCCAGAAATATATACAGAACTCTTACAACTCAACAACAAAAAAGACAACCCAATTTTAAAATGGGCATAGGACTTAAGTAGATATTTCTCCAAGGAAGAAATACAATGACCAATAAGCACATGAAAAATGATCATCCTCTTTGGCAATCATGGAAATACAAATCAAACCACAATGAGATAGCACTTCATACCTACTAGGATGGCTATTTTTTAAAAAGGGAAAATGGCAAGTGACAGCTAAGAGACAGACGAATCCTCGTATATTGCTGGTGGAACTATAAAATGGTGAAGTCACTGTGGAAAACATTTGTCAGTTCCTAAAGAACTTGAACATAGAATTGCCACTGACCCAGCAATTCCACTCTTAGGTATATACCTAAAAGAATTTAAAACAGGCCAGGCGCAGTGGCTCACACCTGTAACCCCAGTACTTTGGGAGGCCGAGGCAGGAGGATCACAAGGTCAGGAGTTCAAGACCAGTCTGACCACCATGATGAAACCCTGTCTGTACTAAAAATACAAAAATTAGCAGGGTGTGGTGGCAGGCACCTATAATCCCAGCTACTCGGGAGGCTCAGGAAGAAAAATTGTTTGGCGGAGGTTGCAGTGAGCCAAGATCACACCACTGCACTCCAGACTGGGTAACAGAGGAAGACTCCATTTCAAAAATACAAAACAAAACAAAACAAAACAAAAGAATTAAAAACAGGTATTCAAACAGAGATACTTGTAAACAAATACTGATGGCAGCACTATTCACAAAAGCCAAAAGGTGGGACAGTCTTTTGAAATGTTCATCAACAGATGAATGGATTTAAAAATGTGTTATATACATGAAATATTATTAGTCATAAAAAGCAATGAAGTAGTGACATATGCTATGATGTGAATGAACCTTAAAAGTACCAAGCCGAACATGAGAAATCACAATACTATACCACTTCATTTATATAAAATATCCAAAATAGGTAAATCCATAGAGACAGAAAGCAGAATTGTGGTTTATTGGGGATAAGAGAAGGTAAAGGAGAGTGAGTGCTCTCCTAGGGGTTTCCTTTTGGAATTATAAAAATGTCCTGAAACCTGATACAGGTGGTAGTTGTGCAACACTGTGAATGTGTTAAATGCCAATGAAATACACACTCTATAATCGCTAGTTTGTATTATTTGAATTTCACCTCAATAAAGCCAACAAAGAAAAAAGACAATTTAGATAAATCTTTAGTTTGCGGGGGTTCATAAGTATGATAAAAATTAAAAATTAGTTGAAGCAGAAACTGGTAATTGACTGTCACTCACTCGCTCCCTCCCTCTAATCTTTTCTACCAGTTTAATATCATGGACATTCACAAATATGCTAACTTCCTCTGTAATACAAAAAGAGGGGCACTTCTTTATTCACCATGTTTTTGCCTGATAATCAACAAAGTTAGATTAATGTATGACGTCATTTGCAATTAATAATTTAAATATGCAACACTTAATGCCAATTACTATAATATAATGGTGGGAAAATCATACTTTCAGTTTTATATTCAAAATATACTTATTTAAGGTACTTATTCCTAACAAGATGATTTATATAATGAATATTTAAGGTATTACATACTTTTCTAATGACTCAAATTTGCTTCTAAGTAAAAATTGAAACATTTGTATATGCATACAGTTTGTTTTGTTGTGGCTTCAACACCGCCAGAAAGCTAGCATCTCAAACCATAAAACACCAATAAACTTATGAAACATCTAGGAACAGAGTATGCCTTTTATATTTTTTGGACAAGGTCTCAATCTGTCACCCAAGCCGGAGTGCAGTGGTGTGATCTTGAACCTGGGAGGCAGAGATTACAGTGAGATGCAATCGCCCCACTGCACTCCAGCCTGGGCAACAAGAGCAAAACTTCATCTCAAAAAATAATAACGTTTATTCCTATTTAGTCTGCAAAAGGAAAGTAAAACTAATGTAAAATAATTATTTTAAAAGAGATACACATGCACATTACATGTTGGTAAGCAGAATGATACCTAAATTCTCCTGGGACAAACAAAGCTCCTTTTAGACAAAACTAGAGTTTGAAGAAATTTCTCCTCTCCAGATCTATGTGACAGTCAGAGCAGTCAGCAGGCAACATATAAAAACATTTTGGGACTTTTGGAGACCAGTTACATAAAAGCCCACACTTCTCTTGAACCCACCCTATCTCCTACACACATGGACAGTGCCACCCAGATCTCAAGAGTACAGCACTTAGCTTCCACATCCATTAGTGTGTATCTAGAAAAAGACAGTAGTGTCCTAGTTTCATTTCTTCCTAAGAAGCAGAACACTTTAACGATGAGCTAAGAAAGGAATTTAAACTCTGATACATTTAAAGTGGCAAAAATGAAAAATGCCAAAAATGATGTCAAAATAAGCATTAGTGCTCAGTAACAAGTCACATTCCTAAAAATTACTAAAAAATACATACTCATATTAAAAATATAGAGACAATAAAAAAAGAGCCCACAATGTCCAGAGTTGGACTGTACATACAAACCACTTTCTCTTCAAGTGGCCCATAAATTGTAAATATGAAATTTTAGTTTCAACTAGATTCTTAATATAGCAAATTTCTTTCTTCTTTTCTTTTTTTGAGACAGTCTCACTCTGTCACCCAGCCTGATAGAGTGCAGTGGCACAATCTTGGTTCACTGCAACCTCCATCTCCCAGATTCAAGTGATTCTTCTGCCTCAGCCTCCCGAGAAGCTGGGATTACAGGTGTGCATCACCATGCCCTGCTAATTTAATCTGAATTACTTATGTTTCTTCTGAGATTAGTACTCCACAACTGAACAACAGATGTGGAAGAGATAAAGTAGCAAATGGAAAAGCAAATTCTCACAGTTTAAAATTTTTAAATAGAGTTAAAAGTAGAAAAACTACTAAACAGCACAAAAAGGCTAAACTTAAATGCTCTCTCCATGTACATTCCAAATTTAGAAAGTATAATTCCGAACTATAAAGAATATACTTTCGGCCAGGCGCGGTGGCTCACGCCTGTAATCCTAGCACTTTGGGAGGCCGAGGTGGGTGGATCACCTGAGGTCAGGAGTTCAAGACCAGCCTGGCCAACATGGTAAAACCCCATCATAAAAAAAAAAAAAAAAAAAAAAGCATTTTGTGAAGAGACGAAGACTGAGCGGTTGTGTCCGCGTTGCCGACCTCGAGCAGCGGTCGGCTTCTCCATGTACAATCGGGAGTAGGAGACTCAGAATCGAATCTCTTCTCCCTTCTGTTTTTGGCTTTGTGAGAAACCTTATCATCAAACACAATGGCCAGCAACATTACCAACAAGACAGATCCTCGCTCCATGAACTCCTGTGTGTTCATTAGGAATCTCAACACTCTCGTGGTCAAGAAATCTGATGTGGAGGCAATCTTTTCGAAGTATGGCAAAACTGTGGGCTGCTCTGTTCATAAGGGCTTTGCCTTTGTTCAATATGTTAATGAGAGAAATGCCCAGGCTGCTGTAGCAGGAGAGGACGGCAGAATGATTGCTGGCCAGGTTTTAGATATTAACCTGGCTGCAGAGCCAAAAGTGAACCAAGGAAAAGCAGGTGTGAAACAATCTGCAGCGGAGATACACGGCTCCTCTTTTGACTTGGACTATGACTTTCAACAGGATTATTATGACAGGATGTACAGTTACCCAGCATGTGTACCTCCTCCTCCTCCTATTGCTCGGGCGATAGTGCCCTCGAAACGTCAGTGTGTATCAGGAAACACCTCACAAAGGGGCAAAAGTGGCTTCAATTCTAAGAGTGGACAGTGGGGATCTTCCAAGTCTGGAAAGTTGAAAGGAGATGACCTTCAGGCCATTAAGAAGGAACTGACCCAGATAAAACAAAAAGTGGATTCTTTCCTGGAAAACCTGGAAAAAATTGAAAAGGAACAGAGCAAACAAGCAGTAGAGATGAAGTGACAAGTCAGAAGAGGAGCAGAGCAGCAGCTCCGTGAAGAAAGATGAAACTAATGTGAAGATGGAGTCTGAAGGGGGTGCAGATGACTCTGCTGAGGAGGGGGGCCTACTGGATATGATGATAATGAGGATGGGGGGGATGACCAGCTAAAGTTGATCAAGGATGATGAAAAAGAGGCTGAGGAAGGAGACGATGACAGAGACAGCGTCAATGGCAAGAATGACTCTCAGGCACACAGTGGGGTTTAGAAATCTTATCCCATTACTTCTTTATCTAGGTGCTTGTCTAAGATCAAATTTTTCACCAGATCCTCTCCCCTAGTATCTTCAGCACATGCTCACTGTTCTCCCCATCCTTGTCCTTCACATGTTCATTAATTCATATTTCCCTGCGCCTAGTCCCATTCTCACTTCCTTTGACGCTCCTAGTAGTTTTGTTAAGTCTTACCCTGTAATTTTTGCTTTTAATTTTGATACCTCTTTATGACCTAACAATAAAAAGGATGTATGGTTTTTATCAACTGTCTCTAAAATAATCTCTTGTTATGAAGGGAGTACAGTTCTTTTCATTCATACATATGTTCAGTAGTTGCTTCCCTAACTGCAAAGGCAATCTCATTTAGTTGAGTAGCTCCTGAAAGCAGCTTTGAGTTAGAAGTATGTGTGTTACACCCCAACATTAGTGGGCTGTGTGGCGCAGTTCAACACAAATGTAACGATGTATTTTTTGTGAATGAGAGCTGGCATGTCAAATGCATCCTCTAGAAAAATTATTAGTGTTATAGTCTTAAGATTTGTTTTCTAAAGTTGATACTGTGGGTTATTCTTGTGAACAGCCTGATGTTTGGGACCTTTTTTCTTCAAAATAAGTCCTTATTAAACCAGGAATTTGGAGAAAAATTAAAAATTTAAAAAAGAATATACTTTCGGCCAGGTATGGTGGCTGGTAGCTCACACCAGCACTTTGGAAGGCCAAGGAAGGTGGATCACTTGAGGCCAGGAATTTGAAACCAGCCAGGCCAACATGGTGAAACTCCATCTATAAAAAAAATAAAAAATTAGCTGGGCATGGTGGCACATGCCTGTAATCACACCTACTCAGGAGGCTGAGACATGAAAATCACTTGAACCTTGCGGGGCAGAAGTTGCAGTGAGCTGAAATAACACCATTGAACTCTCCAGCCTGGGTGACAGAACAAGACTATGTCAAAATATATATATATATTTGTTTTTTTTCAAAACCAATATAAGATATTCCAGAAAATTACTTTTAAGTAATTTTTCAGTTAAGGATAATTAAATCTCTCAACTGTCAAAAGAATATCCATTTCTAAAAATTCATGTTACTATGATCATATTTGTTTTTGCTGTTTTTTGCTAATCAATACAAAATACAGCTTTTTTTTCTTTTAGGGAGCCTTTCATTTCCTGATGAAATTGAACACCAAAAATCTTTCAAACAAAAATATAAATTTTCAGATTATAAACGAGATTTTTTAATGAGACTGGATAAACAAAATGAAAATGTTAACTAAGCAACATTACTGAGACTGCATATATGGCTTATCCTCTTTACTGGCAATCAACTATTGAAATCTTTGTGTGTATGATACTAACTACGAAACAGCCATGTCCATCAAAAGGCCTATCTAGTTGGGTAAACAGCTAAATAAAATAAGCAAGGATGTATGCAGCACCTAATGAGGAATTTATAGTTCAGAAGAAGGAAAATATCGGGAAGAAAAAGGGACAAACTAGAAAGCAGAAATAGAAAAGCAGAAGATGGCAGGGTATTTCAAACAGAAAGCAGCAATGAATAAAAGCATAAAAGTGGATATGACAAATTCAGTTCATGAAACAAAAACCTGCATAGTTGAGAAGGGGAACGCTGGACTAGGTGAGCCCTGGAAAGCCTAGTTAAGCAGTTTGCTCATTTTATATATACACAATCAAGGGAGCTACTGAAGGTTTGGGACTTTTTTTTTTTTTTGAGACGGAGTTTTGCTCTGGTTACCCAGGCTGGAGTGCAATGGTGCGATCTCGGCTCACCGCAACCTCCGCCTCCTAGGTTCAGGCAATTCTCCTGCCTCAGCCTCCTGAGTAGCTGGGATTACAAGCACATGCAACCATGCCCAGCTAATTTTTTTGTATTTTTAGTAGGGACGGGGTTTCACCATGTTGACCAGGATGGTCTCAATCTCTTGACCTCGTGATCTACCTGCCTCAGCCTCCCAAAGTGCTGGGATTACAGGCTTGAGCCACCGCGCCCGGCCTGGGACTTCTTATTCTTGAAAAAATTTATCATATGCATTGCATAGTTTAAGCAACATGCATGGCTAAAATCTTTTTTTTTTTTTTTTTTTTGAGATGAAGGTCTCACTCTGTCACCCACACTGGAGTGCAATGATATGATCTCGGCTCACTGTAACCTTCGCCTCCCGGGTTCAAGTGATTCTCCTGCTTCACCGTCCCAAGTAGCTGGGACTACAGGCTCGTGATACCACACCCAGCTAATTTTTTTGTATTTTGTTTTAGCAGTGACAGGGTTTCACCGTGTTAGCCAAGATGGTCTCGCTCTCCTAACCTCATGACCTGCCCAACTCAGCCTCCCAAAGTGCTGGGATTAGTCATGAGCCAACGCGCCCAGCGCATGGCTAAAATTGTTAACCTTATGTCACCATGATGTCTGCAGGAAAACAGTATCTTTAATTTTACACATTAGAGAATTTTCTTACAATTATCTTGCTTTTATTTTTATTTTATTTTATTTTATTTATTTAATTTTTAGAGAGGGTCTCACTCTGGCACCCAGACTGGAGTGCAATGGTGTGATCTCAGCTCACCACAACTTCTGCCTCCTAAGTACAAGCGATTCTCCTGCTTCAGCCTCCTGAGTAGCTGGGACTACAGCATGTGTCGCCACCACCACCACCATGCCTGGCTAATTTCTGCATTTTTTGTTAGAGACGGGATTTCACCATGTTGGTCAGGCTGGTCTCAAACTCTTGACCTCAAATGATCCACCTGCTTCAGTGTCCCAAAGTGTTGGGATTACAGGCATGAGCCACCACCCCCAACCTATCCTTGTTTTATTTTTCACTATGAAACTTCACAAAATAAAATATGTATAATGAGTTATTTTCTAATATTTTATATTCAAATAAACATATGCTTAATAACCTACAATACTGCTGTATTAAAACCTTGTATGAGAAACAATATGAAATAGTGACTAAGAGCTCCAACTACAGAATCACCTGGTTGAAAAACCAGCCCCAACTGCATGATTTTGAACAACCCAAGGCTCAGTTTTTTCATATGATTGCTGTATTAACAGAGAAATGCATCCAGGCATGGTGGCTCTCTCCTGTAATCCCAGCACTTTGGGAGGCTGAAGTGGGAGGATCATTTGAAGTCAGGAGTTTGAGACCAGTCTGGCCAACATGGTGAAAACCCATCTGTACTAAAAATATAAAAATTAGCTGGGTGTGGTGGTAGGCACCTTGGGAGGCTGAGGCAGGAGAATCCCTTGAACTCGCGAGGCAGAGGTTGCAGTGAGCCCGGTATCAGTCATTGCATTCCACCCTGGGCAAGACAGTGAGACTCTGTCTCAAAAAAAATAAAAGAGAAATGCAAGTGCAAATGCCTGGCATATAATAAAGGCTCAACAAATGTTGGCTATAATTATTAAAGAAAATCCAGAAGCTCATAGTGGAGTGTAGTGGCATGATCATCAAAGCTCACTGGGCTTACACAATCCTCCCACCTCAGCTTCCCAGGTAGCTAGGACTACAGGTACATGCCACTGTGACCAGCTAGTTTTTTAATTTTTGGTAGAAATAGGGTCTCGTTATGTTGCCCAGACTGGTCTCAAACACCTGGCCTCAAGTGATCCTCCCACCTTGGCCTTCCAAAGTGCTGGGGTTGTAGGCGTGAGCCACCGCACCGGGCCTAAAATGCATATTCTCATTTTGAGGAAAGCCTCAAACAGTGGATACTATTAATTACTCAATTTGTCTCCTTGTTACTCAGTATCTTTTCTCTTTTGAAATGTATTTTCCCAAACAACATCTAATAATTTACTTCTATTATTGGCAAACTTTACACATTAGGTATGTTTCAAATTTTTTTCATAAGGCAATATGAAATCACATTTTTCCAGATCTTAGCATTCTATGACATGCTTATCTATCCCACAAAAAAAAAAAATCTTTAAGTATTTCACACTACTATAAAGATACCACTCGAGACTGGTAATTTATAAAGGAAAGAGGTTTAATTGACTCACAGGTCCACATGGCTAGGGAGGCCTCAGGAAATGTACAATCATGGGAGACGGTGAAGGGGAAGCAAGGACCTTCTTCACATGGCATTAGGAGAGAGAAGAGAAAAGCCCAGAAGAAATTGCCATTTATAAAACATTAAATCTCATGAAAACTCCCTTACTATTATGAGAACAGCAGAGAGGAAGTGG